TTCTCTCCTTTTTTTACAATAACCAAGTTGAGAACGCTTAGATTAGCATCCACAATGCAACCACGAACTGATTTTCTCTCTCTTTCTCCAGTTCTCCTTGGTCTGTAACAGGAATGCCCCTTACTCAGTAGCAGGCGGACACGGCCATGAGTCAAGACACCCTGCTTCATGGGGAAACCTTGTTTGTCGTTCCCACCACTGATTCGGACCACATAACCCTTCCATTCTTCACCCAGAGCGTCAGCAGCAACTTCTGTCGCCATACGCTTCTCATAAAAAGTACAAAGTTTGCGTTCATCGTCCACTTCAATGAGTTTCTGGCATCCAGTGGCTGGGAAGGAGATGTTCAGCTTCATCTTGAAGCAGCTATACGCCTTCCAGGCGCCACGGAAAAGAGCGAAAAAAATTCTAAGTAGTAAAGTGTTCAAGAGGAAGTAGAACATAAAAGTTTGGAAAATTTGTACGCTGACAATGCAATAGAAAAGAAAATCTCATTTTCTGGGGAGAAATTCAGGCCTGCTGCAGAAATTTCCATAAGTAACAAGGAGCCGAATGTTAATCACTAAGACAAGGGGAAAGTGTCTCCAGGATGTGTCAGATACCTTTGCGATGGCCCTCTCATCAAAGGTCTAGAGGACTAGGAGGAAAAAAATGGTTTTGTGGGCCAGAACCAGGCCCCCCGATGTGTGTCACCTAGGGACTTGGTGCCCTGTGTCTCAGCTGCTCCAGCCGTGACCAAAAGTGGCCAAGGCATAGCTCAAGACTGTGGTTGCTTTGGCTCCACAAGCCCCAGGCCTTGGCAGCTTCCACATAGTATTGATCCTGTGGGTGCACATAAGTCAAGAATTGAGGTTTGGGAACCTCTACCTAGATTTCAGAGGATGCATAGAAACACCTGATGTCCAGGCAGAAGTTTGCTGCAGGGGTGGGGCCCTCATGGAGACCCTCTGCTAGGGCAGTGCAGAAGGGAAATGTGGGGTTGAAGCCCCCACACAGAGTCCCTACTGGGGCACTGCTTAGTGGAGCTGTGAGAAGAGAGCCACCATCCTCCAGATCCAAGTATGGTAGATCCACCAACAGCTTCTACCATGCACCCAGAAAAGCCACAGAGACCCAATACCAGCTGGTGAAAGCAGCCTGGAGGAAGGGTGCACCATGCAAAGCCAGAAGGGCAGAGCTCCCTGAGGCCAAGGGAGCCCACCTCTTGCATCAGCATGACCTGGGTCTGAGATATGGAGTCAAAGGAGATCATTTTAGAGCTTTAAGATTTGGCTGTCCTGCTGCACTTCAGACTTGCATAGGGCCCTTCATTTTGGCTACTTTATCACATTTAGAATGGGTCTATTTACCCAATGCTTGTACCCTTACTGTATCTAGGAAGTAACCAACTTGTTTTTTGATTTTACAGGCTCACAGGTGGAAGGGACTTGCCTTGTCTCAGATGAGAATTTGGATTGTGGACTTTGGAGTTAATGCTGAAATAAGTTAAGACTTTGGGGGACTGTTGGGAAGGCATGACTGGTTTTGAAATGTGAAGACATGAAATTTGGGAGGGGGCAGGTGTGGAATGATATGGTTTGGCTGTGTCACCACCCAAATCTCATCTTAATTTGTAGCATTCATAATTCCCATGCGTTGTGAGAAGGACCCAGTGGGAGGTAATTGAACCATGAAAGCAGGTCTTTCCCGTGTTGTTCTCATGAAAGTGAATAAATCTCACAAGATTTGATGGTTTCATAAAGGGGAGTTCTTCTGGAGATGCTCTTTTCCCTGCCACCATGTAAGATGTGCCTTTGCTCCTCATTTGCTTCCTCCGTGATTGTGAGACCTTCCCAGCCATGTGGAAATGTGAATCAGTTAAAGCTCTTTCCTTTATAAATTACCCAGTTTTGGGTATGTCTTTATTAGCAGTGTGAGAACAGACTAATATAGCAGGCCAGAGGGATCAGACATCAAAATGACATAGGATTGTCACTGGTTGAGGGTTGTGACTGAAACTTGTCCAGGTTCTTGGCATTTTAACAAAGAATTGGACAAAACACCCAGCAAAGAAATGAAAGAATTAAGCAACAAAAAGAATGAAAGCAGGGATTTATTGAAAATGAAAGTACACTCCACAGTGTGGCAGCAGACCTGAGCAGTGACTCAAGGGCCCAGATACAAAATCTTCTTGGGTCCAAACACCCACTAGAAGTTTCCCATTGGCTCACCTCATGTAATGAAGTGGTAGCCTGCAATCAGTCTGATCAGTTGCAAAAAGCAACCAATCCGAGGCTAGGGTGAAGTTACACAGTTACAAACAAATACTCTACCTGCAATTAGTCTGATGTGTGATGGACAGTCAATTTCCCATTTGCCCCACAGAAAAGGTCAAAGGGAGTAGCCTCTGGTCCTTTTGTTACTTAGGTGTAGAATGCTAGGGGGCTTCTTTTCAATTTAGTCCTTGGAAGTTGGCATGAAACAGCCTTAGGTCCCCTGCCTCCAGACTCTATTCTCCTGCCTCAAGTTGAGGAATTTGATCAGATATTGAGAGTGATCAGATACTGAGGTGGGGAATTCTTGCTAAACGGATTTAGTAGGCTTCTCACTAAAATTGAGTTGTTCAGTCAGGAGGAGAGGGAACAACAATGAGGGCTAGATGAGGCATAGAAGAGTTCACTAAATTTTGGTGAGAGAGTCTTTGTCACCTTCTTCTTTCTCAATCAAGTTCATCACTCTTTGCCAACAAAATCATAGGCAGTTTTCAACCCCCCTCTAGCTCCCAGAAGGAATATTTATTCTGGCAACAAAGCTGCTAATTTTTGCAGCCACTTTTGCTAACAAAGCTATGGACAAGGGGGTAGGGAAGCAGCCCCAGGCAACAAGGCCACAGACTCTCACACAAATTCTAGTGCTTTTATTAAGAATGTGTCTTCAGGCTGGGCACAGTGGATTACACCTGTAATCCCAGCACTTTGGGAGGATGAGGCAGGTGGATCATTTGAGGTCAGGAGTTCAAGACCAACCTGGCCAACATGGAGAAACCCCCTGTCTACTAAAATACAAAAAATTAGCTGGGCGTGCACCTGTAATCCCAACTACCCGGGAGACTGAGGCAGGAGAATTGCTTGAACCCAGAAGACAGAGGTTGCAGTTAGCCAAGGCCATGCCACTGCCGTCTAGCCTGGGTGATAGAGTGAGACTCTGTCTCAAAAACAAAACAAAAAAAAAAGAAAGAATGAGTCTTCGTTCCACCTTTGTTTCACTTTTAGTACCCTGAGGTTGTTATTTCAGACAATCCTGTTCAGTATTATATGCATTTTTCCAGACAGGGATTGCTGACTTCTTCATGCTGCCATGATTATTGGAAGACCCTCTAAAGGCTCTTAGTCAGACTCTTTTACATATCAAAGCATGTTGTGAATAACCAAGTGGGCAACGCAGAATTCAGTGTTTTTTAATTTAACCTCATTGTCAGTGGAACTCTGCCCACCCACTTTTTTCCAGGAGCATCTGATTTATTTCTTAAAGTTTAATGCAGAAGACTTACAGGGAGAGGTTCGTAAAATGTTGATTACTGAGCTCCTACACCAGAGGTTCAGGTTGTATAGATGTGGGGTGCATACTATACATGACTTTAGACAGGTTGTCTGAAGGCCACACCTTCCCCGTTGTTCCATAGAGTGCATCTGTTTATAAGGCCCCAGACCTCTCAATAAAAAGGCATTCACTTCTTTTCACTTAGTATCTTAAAAGGCTGATATAGAAGAGACAGTGCTATATGTTCACCAAGTCTGTTTTATATTCTTCCTTGATGGGAACATGTAAAACTACACTTACTCACCCCTGTAGCTGACTGGGACCACATGACTAGATTTGGCCAAAGATGTGTGAATGAGACAGCCAAGTGTAAAGGGGTTCCTGGAACAACTCCAAGTGGCCTGCAGACTGGGAGGAGTGTGCACTGGGGTGGGGCCACAGAAGTTCCACCATTTGCAGGAGAGAGGAGCCTGGCCCCTCCTCTTCCTGGAGGGAACCTGGAATTCAATCTGCAAGGCAGAAAGCATGTACTAGCAGGACTCTTGCTCTGCTGAGAGTTCCTGTTTCCCTTTTTCACCTTTTTGCCCATTAAATCCCATTTTTCTCAGCCTTCAAATTGTCCGCGAGCCTAATTTTTCATGGTCGTTTGACAAGGACCTCGTCTTTAGCTGAACTAAGGAAAACTCCTACAACATGAGCAGGAGGAATGAGTGGATCACTTCCCAGCCATGGCAGTGGGGAGCCCGTGTGCAGTTCTTCAATCTCTTGCTTTCTATTTGGTCAAGGGTAGTGGCCTCATCATATAAAGATGGCAGAGTTACAGATTTGATGAAAGTCTGGATCCTGAAGACTCATATAGTCAACAGCTGCCTGTGGAGGATAAAGAGCTTTGGGGGAGCAAGAAATAAGCTTTTAGTGCTAAGCCATTGAGATTTGGAGTTGTGTGTTACCACATCATGAATCTAGCCTATTTTGAGTTAGGGGTTATAGAAAGGGCAACAGTGAAATTACCTTCTGAAGCAGCTCAAAGGATTGAGGGAAGAAAATGTGATTAACAGGAAACCTAGGATCTCAAAAATTGAAGCTTGGCTTACCCCAGCATCATTTGATCATGCTCCTTCCATGGTGAGGCAATAGTCGCAATCCACAGGCTTTTCTTGCAGTTGTTAAGGTCTGACCTTTTAAGTGGAAAACAATGCCTTAGGCCTAATCTAAAGGACAGATGCAAAAAAAAAATTTCAATTAACTCAGCCCATCTATCCAGAACCTGCATTTGTAAACGGTTTTATTTTTAAGACAAAGATAAAAAAGGAGTCTTTCTTTCCATTTTAATCTTCAGTTAACCAGCATATTTTGTTAATTATAATCTATAGCCTACCCCTTGAGTCTTTTATTATTTGAGGTTTTACCTTATATGCAATGATTTTAACAATAAATAAATGCCAAGGAGGGAGAAAATAAGTGGTGTACTTCATAATACAAAAAATAAATAAACAAAATTAGTAAAATTGCTTTCAGCAGGGAAACATGTTAAGCTCTCTTTCTGTCTAGAAAAAACATTAGTTCAATTAAATATAGCTGGCTGTGTTTTATGTTTAAACAGTGAATGTGAATCAAAGATTCACGGCTTCCTCAAGCTTGCTTCACACTACTTGCCCGTCCCCCACCCGCATCGAGCACCAGTCTGTCCTTGGCCCACCCAGCAGAAAAGAAGTGTGATGTGTGTGTGTTTCATCATGGAATTAATCAGCAGAGAGCATGTCCAGGTTAGGTTGGAGAAAATCAAAGGCACACTTGCAGCTCATAGAAAATACTGTGAACCCATTTGATGAGTGTAACAAACATGCTATGAAAGTCAAATGGCCAACCTTTC